GTTAACACAGTTTTTAGGATTTTATCAACCGTCTGCCCTTTGACTTTTATCAAGCACTCACTTTGTCTCTGTCTTTTACACAAGTTGTCTGTTGCCTGTCCATTTACTCTGAGCTGTGTTGTGTCACTGATAGACTGCTGTTCCACAACACAATTTTAAAAAATGGATTAGGTCCAAGAACGACAGATTGAAACAAATGGTTCTAGCCAGGGGCATACATCTACAGTCGAAATGCGACTTGTCTAGCTTTGGCTAGTAAAAGCCAAATGCTTTGTGAGACTACAATAGAGGAAAGTAATATTTGTCTGTGAGTTTACATTGGTCTTGTTTCTGGTTTGTGTATGACAGATTGTTTTTCAAGATGTCAGAACCAGTAGATGTATTGAAAACCAAGGTTATAAACTGCTGCTATCTCTAAAAAAAAAAGCCAGCTTTTCCAGGAGGAGAAAAGCTCATATTTTCAAATGGACTGTCATGTTGTTTTATATTCAATGAAGGGATTTGTATGGGCTTCATAGCTCCAAAGGTCATAGATTCTACTGAGTCCATATTATGTAAAACTGTGAAGCAAAAGTTTTGCAACAGTTGCTCCCCCTTTTTGAAGGTCTGTTATCAGATTGATTTGATGTGGAACGTTATTGTCAGGTTGGATAAATGGAATACATTTAAATTCTGCAATATTTTTTTCAATACGTTTTTACACATCTTCTGAAAAAGTTGTTCAATTTCACAACTTTTCTAATCTGACTTACCATTTGTATTGTTTCTGACTGTCACAACTAAAAAAAATGCAACTTCAAAGTGATCTGATATCTCTGGGCCCATCTTGCTGGCTGATGTCATTGACACAGATTGTGAGTACACATACTAGAAATAATCTGCATGACAACATTTGAAATTTAGCTGCGATAAACATCTTGGGGAAGATGTTTCCCTTCATACATACGTATTTTTACGCAAAGCAGAATTTATTTAGAGACAATGCAATAGATGATATGAAAACATTCTTTTCTCAAGATTTTTGGGATGTGGAGAGAGGACAGTCATAAGGGTAGTAGGCAGGTCTACTTGTCTAAAATTACGTAAATGAAACTAACTGGGGATTGCAACAAAACTCATAGCATAAACAGACTAATAGAAGACAGGCCACCCTAATGAAAGGCAAAGCATGCAATTACAGTGTAGGAAAAACACAAAGAGAATTAAAGTTATCACCTTGACAGGTATAAGTGCTTTTTTGTCTCTCAGTTTACACAGATCAAATGCTGTGGTAGTCCTTATCATGGAGAATAATCATCTGTTAAATAATGCAGTCGTTTCTGTTATCTTTATTAGCTTGAGATGCAATTGGCCTGTGAGCCAGTAAACTCACATAATCAATGGTGTCATTTTTGTATGTACTATTTTTTATTCATTTTGATCACAACATGCATTTTGGCTGTCACCATTTTCCGTACTCTTACTGTTATATGCCTCAAGCCACCTCATTCATGTAACTCCTGATAGCTCTATTCCCTGCACGGTGCTACTTCATGGGAGTGAAGAGGTCAGAGTCTCGGCGGGAAACATCAATGCTGTGTACTTTTCACATTCACATATTATCTACTCCACTTGAGCTGGCTGACTGATACACACCAAGCTTCAGAAAGCTGTTTAAATCAACTCTAACAGCTTAAAAGTTATTGAAATTTTCTGCTTGGTGGGTTACTTGTGAGCCAGATTTAACAGAAGCCTGTGATGACACGGGAAAGGTCAAGAGGATTCAGTCTGGAAATACGAATGCAGAAAAATAAGATTAAATGAAATCACCTAAAAGAAGTTATCTATACTTTGATTGCTACAATCAAAGTCTGGTAAATCAAATGAGTAACACATGTGGTAATCAATGCTTAAATGCTAATGTTCTAAGATGTTAGCGGCTCTATTCTGATTTAATATTTACATCAACCAGCATGAAGTGTACAAATAGTAGTATTTTCTGTGCTTAGGCAGAGAGTATGGCATTGTCCATCTGCTATTTTCAGTCAGAAATAAATGTTCTGTCAATTTGCTGATATAAGATTGTGTTGAGATGGAAGTCAATGCATTTCTAAGTGCAGCAACCCATGTTTGACAAAAAAAATATTTTATCGGTAGATTAATGAGAATAAAAGCCTTAGACTGTGTTTAAGTTTTTAAGCTCTGTTGTTCCAAAATTAATTTAGATTTTCAAATCCAAAAGGTTTTGCAGTGACAAATAGCAGCCCTGTTTACTTTTATTTTTTACACTGTGCATTGTTGTTTTACAATACAATATCATGCCACAATGCAGAATCTGTACATGTGGTACTCGATATCAAGGTAGGAGTATAACTTCGGAACTGCAGTCTCTTGCTGGCAAATAGAAAAAGGTAGTTTTTCGCATTTGCTGGGTTTATACCCTACAAATTTGGAATGCTGTGTATTCCACATTTTTTGTCAACCCCAGGGGAAGGGCAATGTGGGTGGTAATGAATGTCCTTGTGCTATTTGCCAATATTGTAATGTGCCTTATTGCTGCACTACCATGCAGTCTAAACAGTAATTTGAGCATCAGAGTATTACAGCGACTCTTGGTATACAGAGACTGCAGCTCCAAACGGACATTCAGACAGATGGAAAATGGGGGAAAAGCTTGCATTTGTAGTTGCTGAATTGGTTGGTTGATTACAAAAAAATAGAAGAAAGCTGGCTGAAATCACTGAATGGCTGACTGATTACATAAGCTGGGTAACCAACGCTTTCCATATTTCTATCTATATTTCTGTACACACACAGACACCCAAATATATTTATAAATGTGCGTGTGTGTGTGTGTGTGTGTGTGTGTGTGTGGGCCTGACTGGCAGGAAGGGAGACACAGAGAGAAGCAAACACAAGTAAAAAGGGCTACAAAGGGAAATAGAATCTTGTCAGTCCATCAGTGAAGTGACAGCGAGACAATTACTTCTTATTACCTGACTGACAATTTTGTGTGTATTTGTATGTGCGTATTCATGTGAATCATCGTATGTCTGCTGTTCAATCCTCCACTTAGGATACAAATCACAGCACCATTTTATTCTGAGATGCACAATGGAAAGGAAGGCTTAAGTTTATATGATGTGTTTAGCTCCTAATCTTTCATTCATTTCTCATTTCCAGTTATTTGACACATTGCAGTGTCACACATATTCTCAATCAATACACAATTTACTATTTAAGCTGTTTTAGCAAATTGTATCTTGGTCAGCACCAGAGCTTGCTGAAAAATCACTTTTGCCACTTGGGTTATCAGCTCTGTTAGGCCTACCATGTGGCCCATGCCTCTTCAATCAATAGAAGTTGCAAACAGTATGCTGCCAGCCCTTCTCTTGATTATTTGAACAGTGGTGAAATTCAGTATTGCTATGGATCAAAATGTCCTCCAAAATTCTCAATACTTCAATGTGTGCTTCAGATTTTTATTTCATCCATCCATCCATCCATTTTCCACCGCTTATCCGGGGTCGGGTCGGGGGGGCAGCAGCCGAAGCGGAGAAACCCAGACTTCCCTCTCCCCTGAAACTCAAACCAGCTCCTCCGGGGGATCCAAAGGCGATCCCAGGCCAGCCGAGAGACATAGTTAATTTTTATTTCAACCTTAGAAAAATATTGTATTTACTGAGTGGTGAAATATGTATGTGATAATGTTACCAGCGTTCTCTCTATAGGCCCAAGGGGATTTACTCTAGCACTTTGTTGGAAAAAACAACAATACACAAACGATGCATCACAAAACAAAGATTTGCTTCTATTTTAGAGCAAGATGTTAATCATGTGCAGTCTATAAAGAAGTTCATAAAAGACGTGATGAAGAAATATATGTATATGTAAATGTATACATATAATTATGAATTACTACTTTAAATAATACAAAGTACTATAAGTAAGAAATGAGATGCAAATAAATAAATAAATAAAGAAATAAAGAAATAAAAAAGGACTATATTTGATATAACAAGTCCAGGCTGTATTATGCCACCCCAAAACTTATAGGACATATTGTACCCTCTACAGGTGTAGTTATCTTAGCCAAAACTAACTTACAAAAACTCAGTTCCTCTTAAAGCTTCTGTATTCCCACCAATCATTCATCATTTCTCTTGCCTTTATCTCTTTTTCAATTGTGGTTTTTGTATTTTTCATTCATTTTTTCTCATTTGTCCTTCGTGTCCTTGCTGTGAGTCCAGATCATTATGACTTAGTTTTCTCTGTCCTTTCCTTTGCTCAGTTGTATATCCTTTTAACTCTCTTGTTGTGCATACACCCGAGATTACATCTGTCTTAAAGGAATGGATTTAGGGGTTAAAATATTTGGCATTATGTCTTTTTGACATCCTTTTTGTATTTTTCTTTTAGATATGTTTATCCCATAATTAACTGTTTATGACAAAGACGTGATCATTGAATTTGTAAAAGGTCTCCGATATATTTTCCAGTTTTATTTCTTTATATTACGAATAACTGAACAAAAAATCGTACAATACAGCCCCCATAAACAAGGTGTTTCTCAGTCAGCTATGCTTCATATCCAACGATATGCACAATTCTGTTGTTATTCGTATTATTACTCATGCTTCATGTAAAATCAGAGCTGGATCAAGAGTTAAATCCCTAAAGATTTTGCTTTACCTCACTGCATTTGTCCCATTGAGATTTTAGGCCTGGATAGCTTTGGTAGAAAAAAATAAATAAATTGAACATCATTACAAGTGATACAGACCCCCCCCCCCAGAAGAAAGAAAGATAGACTGTCCTACATTTTCCCTCCATTGATGATTAGCATGAAGGGATCTAAGCTAAAATCAAAAGGATTATTTAAGAGTTCAGTCACTGACGCGACATCAACATTGACCGAAATTAAATGTTCCTGTCAGAAACCTATATTTCACTGTGTCTTATTATCATTGTTCATAATTTCCTTTGTGAAAAAGTGGTCTAAATGATCTCTTGTTTTGCAGATTGTCAGGGTTCATGCTGCCCTCCCCTCTAGTCAGCAGTGGATCCATACTGGCCTTGTGGTTTACTACAGACTTTGCTGTGAGCGCACAGGGTTTCAAAGCCGTATATGAAGGTAAGAATTTGCGTTGATGTTTATCAGGATGTGTGAGTGTTGGACACCCTACCTGGGGCAGTGGTTGTGAAAAAGTAAACCTGTATGCTACTTGACTTTTGTGTGAATGATAGTTTAATTTGAAAAATACTGATTAACATCTTCTGCTAACAGAGAAAAACTTTTATAACAATTCTTCTCAAATGCTCTTGATATGCATAAAATGTAAACAAAACGTATGTCAAAAGACAACCTTTTATTTTCAATACAGCAAAGAAAGCATTCCTCGTCTTTAAAAGGAGTTGTTGCATTTTACTAAAATTATTAGCTCATCCTTTATGCAAAGCAACATTTAAAAAAAAAAAAAAATCAGAGGGCGACTAAAAGGCCGAAAGAGTAAGTGATACTTAGCAAGGATTGGATCAGAAAGATTTTATCTCTGTGTGCAGACAAGCACAAGTGACCATGTGACTGAATATCAGATATACATAGTGGGAGAGTGAGCCTTACTGATGTATTGTCTCAGTCTGTTAGCGATCCTAACAGAAGTTCAGACTTCTGCTCGTGAATGTACTGCATTAGTGCATTATTTGGTTCCGTATTCATGTTGTTGATAATGAAGGTATGAGTTTGCATTGGCTCTTATTTTGCTGTTGCTTTTCCATGCTCATAAAATGAGCCTCTTCAGTGTGGCGGGCAAACAAATACATAGCCTGACCTTTTGAACACTCGGTCACACGCGCACAAACAGTGTGTTTCATTATTCTTCTGTAACACTTCATCAATGAGTTATGAGCTTTAAATATCAAGAACTCTCAAGAGAGAGCAGATACGCGCAAACTCCCCATGTGTGCGCGTGTGGGTCACTGTTATCCTCCTTTGTTAGTGCACAACACACTGTGTGCTTTGCTTTGAATGTACATTGTTTCTGTGTGTGTTCCTGAATGTCTGTTATTCGTGTCCTTTTATGAAGCAAACGTTCCAAACTTTTTACTTTGTTCCAATAAGTTTAGTAAGAGTTTTGTTTTGATTGTGTTTGATTTTCACATCAGTAGAGAAGAGGATGTTACAGACAATTCCTGTAGCTTCACTTTCTTTTTCTGTCAAGTCAACATGTGTGCAAAGGAAGGACCTGACTTTTTCACAGACTTTTATATTTTGTGTGGATATCAGATTCACATTTATTTGATCAGTCATGGGTGATGTCAGTACAGACTGTGTCTTCTGATCATGGAAAGTGTTGCAGCTTATGACAAAGAACAGTAGGTAGGGCAACTGCTAGGTCATCCCTCCATTACTGGGCCTGTCCAGTCTATAACTTAAAGAAGGCTGCCAGTGAGAGCTCTAATTTAATAAATAGAAGAAAAAAAAAACTATTCAATAATAATAGCTATAATAAACAGCATGGCATCAATGGGAAATTAGAAGAACAATTGGAAAACAATTGGGATTCTATTTTAAAGACAATTGCTATGTTTTTTTATTTTTATTTATGGAAAAAAAATTATATATATTTTTTCCAGTTCACCATATCCAGTTTAAATTTGTTAAAAATGTGTGGACACATGGCGGGAAGAAAGTGTGGAGGGAACATTGTCACCACTGATTCTTCTGTTTGATAAAGCTGGTTTATGCACTCAAAAAAAGATACACACACGGCTGTTCTGCGTTTCTTTATGACAGTGCCATGTATGATTTATGCATCTGTCCAAAGAAAACTAAGCCTCAAGCTCTTGTTACAAGATGCTCGTTTCCAGGGGAGGGAATGCCTTGAGCAATGTGCGTACATGAAGTGGAAAGATGGCAGCAGAAAATCAGTGTGCCATTTGCGCTTTCAGTTTTCCTTTCTGCTGCAATGGTATGACATTTGGAAAAATAAAAAGCCACATAAACATATCTATAATTACACACAAGAAATATTTCTGTAGGCTTGTGTTATCCGGTCTACAATTGGACTGATTAAGGTACTTTCCAGGTGCACAGACCATCTCTTAATTTCCCCAAGGAATCTCAAAGCACTGGAAACCCAGACATACATAGCAGATAAGAAGTACCAAAGGATGTAATAAAGGAACCCCTCCTTCACAATCTTCTGCAAAAGGACCAATCAGCTCAAAGCAAGACCTTGGAGCACATCATGAAACACACTTAAAGCATTCAGACCTTATCCTTTTTTCCTCCCCGATAAAGAGCAGAGGTAACACATCATTGTGCTACCTCTGCTCTCATTTGCCATTTGGCATGGATGACTATGTCCAGACTTCTTTGCAAATCAAAAGCAGTACCAACTAGAACTCTACCCTTAATTTCGTACTCTTAACCTTACTTTAAGGATTTGAATACCACTCAACCTTAATTGAATGCAGTTTATTTGACATTGTTTGGAATCTGGATCCAAAGATATAGAACTTTTTCATCACCAGTAAAGGAAGTATGAGAAAAAAAAATCACTCAATAAAACTCAGGAGTCATCAGGGTTTATAAAATTAATTTGATGTTTTATTTATATTTCAAATACAATTTATGCTTTTACCTGGCCAAGTTACTTCACTGTAAAATTATATCTATCCTTTCTGTAAACCATCATTCATGCTTATAAAGATTTACCTGCATCTTGAAAACTAAACCAAAACATTTTAATTTTACTTATTGGTATTTTATGTGGTCGGTTTATTTCAAGTCTGCCTTTACAACAAATCAAGAAATGTTTGATGATCTAATATTTAGTGTTAGATATCTTCATACACAATATATACTAGAGACATATCCTTTGCCGTTGGGGCTAAATAGAAAAACTGTACTGAATTGGATTTAATTAAAGTTAGTTTGATGGAATAATTCCGTTTCTCTGAGACCTTAATATTTAAATATCCTTTTAATAATAACTTAACCCTTATAAATGATTGATATTTGTAATATATAAACCATCACCACTGAGCCATAATCACTTTTGACTTTCTGTGCTGTCTGGGGTAATTATGTAACATAGTTGTTTCATTCTGCTGAAAATGTCATTCAATCATGGAATATTTAAAGTGTTAAGATAACAGAAACAAATGCTTTTAATACTGCCATCATATTTGATAAAACTAATAAAAATACAGAAAACATTTCAAATTCACTGGGTTCGTCAGATAAAGGTTTTTCTGTTTTCAAATGAGGATGACATTGTAAACCAATTAACTTTCAGAAAGTAATTTAACAATCCTTGAATCTCTTTGTAATCTGTCCCCCCCATTGATCCACACACTTATTTATTTTCATTCAATTTACCTGGCTGACAAAGAATCAATTTGCCCAGATATATTTATTATACAGTCCCAACCATCAGTCTGTCTGGAACTGTCTGTAACATTACCAATTTTAATAACAAAATTTACTCCTGTCCAAACTTTCCTTACAGGAAACCGGACTGAATTATGTCAGCACACTTATCTGAATGATAAGACCCCTGTCGCCTGAGGAGTAAAGAGAGAAAAAAAAGAGTATGAGAGAATTCATATAAAGAAGTGGTGATAAAGTGAGGCCTTACTGGAATGAAATCTGTTTGAAAACCAAGTCTCTAAGATAGTCATCAATTAATTTTTCCCTGAAGAAGTAAGAGAAATGGGCAAAAGGAGAGAAAATTGTATGGAGCAGACCTTAAGGACAGAGTGGTTTGGAAGAGGAGTGACTTAAATGATAAGAAAGGAGTTTGACAGAACAGGTTAGGATTATGAATTTCTTGTGTTGACCACTACATTATTCGAGAGGACAGAGATCATTCAAAAATCTTTTTCAATTTCTAAGTGCTTAACCTGCTGAAGTGCTATTTCAGTGACCTGAAAGTTGTTGTAACAAGCATGTGTACCTCAACCCTCATCTCCAAAAGTTAAACAAGATTTAGATTTTTTTAAATGTACTCTCACAGTAGCTTGATCAGAACCTACTCCCCATACAGCAACAGGCGTTTGAATAGAAACAGCCTTGTAACACATTCCTAAAGGAATCTTGTTAAACAAGTGTTTAATACTCGTGATACCATTTGCTCAAAGTTATGCCTATATAACATTTTTGTAAGCTGCTGCTTCGTCTAGCGAGTTTCCAGCTATTGCTTAGTGACAAATAGCTCTAGCAGTACTTCCCTTGAGTGTTTAAGTGCTTTTACCTGCAAGAACAAACCCAATGGCACTCCTTTCCTTTTCACCTAGAGACAAATGAATGTTTTTGTGTTAGCATGTCATGTCGGAATGGTGCTAATGAAGAACTTGTGTAAATCTCAACCCTGACTTGTGTGATTCTGTATCTTTTTTTGCGACAAAGAAAAAGGCAGAATGTTTCTCAACTCGAACACAACCAGAGTCTTATTTATTTAGAATATAAGCCAAATGCACCTCCACCAGCCCCTCCTGCTGATGTCTGTCCGAGAAAAGGAAGACATCTGTTTTGGAAATTGCTGTGTGTGTTATAGCAGATGTTTAGCTATGTGTTAAACATGATTTAACAAAAAAAAAAAAGTTATTTGATATAGAACACGTTTGTGAGGTATCATTTTTACATTTCATTTCAGGCCCTTGTGTGTAAAAGTGCAGAGAGTTTATTCCCTTTGGTGTTGGCCTTTCCAGCACTTCTCTATCCTCTTCTCTTACCCTGTGTTGTGTTGACTGGTGTAGAATCCATTAGAAACACTCGTAGGGGCTTCCAAAACTTGCTGATTTGAGCCATGGCTTCACACAGACTGGGGCAAGAGTTCAGTCGCCACCAACCGTTAGGAAACAGAGCCTCCTACTCAAGGATTATGCATTTTAAAACATGATATCCTACTCCTCCATGCCTTTAACCAGATAGTTAGCAGAGTTATTGTTTTATTCCTTAAAGTTGGATGTTATTCTATATTATATTATGGAATAACTCCAGAATATGTATTTAACAGCAAATACAACATAATGACAGTAAAAAAATAAGCTGTCAGGTAGCTTAGTTATATTATAGATGCACTCATATATAATTATTCCTTCTAATTTCTCTACTTAATGCACAGA